ACGGGTAACCATTATCTCACAGTGAAAACACCAAACCTTTGGTATATCAAAATAATGCTAGGATTGACTTTTTAGTTTGTATTTAAACTAAAATAAGTATTTTTAAAGCATTTTAATCACATCAATTGTGTCACAACTTAGGCTGTAAATATTCATAATATTTCATATTAAGATTGTTTGACATGGTCTGAGTATCTATTAGTTTTTTTTTAAACTATGTTTCAGCCCTGTCACTTGTTTTTGTTTTGTTTCCTTGTGCATTGTCATATGTTATAAATGAACTAAAGAACTTGTTTTATTTGTAAGATCCAGTTAGCAATTTTGTCACTGCCTGTTCAAACTCCAGCTTAATGTCCCAGACTAGGTACTTGTGACAATGGGTCTGTGGGAATGAATGATGGATCTGTGTAGCAACAATAGCTTTAACCTCTAACTAGCTTTCATTTTTCATCTTTGCAACTTCCATTTCCTCTTTTTATTGAAATAAGTTCAGTTGAAATAAATGGATACTCCTGCACGTGTCGATGGTCCTGTGAGCTCTTCTGAGAATAGCATTGGCCTGCCTGTTAATGATACTGTTAATAATTTTTTTCATATTTTTTTTCTCTTTTTCTTTTTAGTCTCGACCTATTCCTTCTCACCTTACTTCAGCAGTTGCAGAGAGTATCTTGGCTTCAGCCTGTGAGAGTGAGAGTAGAAATGCTGCCAAGAGGATGCGTCTGGAGAGACAACAGGTACTGAGGCTTCTTGCAGTCTGGTGATCACCAGCTATTGCAAATACACTGAATTTAGTTAGATTTATATAGAAGAGTAAAAACTCTTGAGCGATTTATAGTGCACAGAGATACAATTTTTATATCTTTATGATGAGAATTTAAACTTGAAAAATACATGTTCATGTGATCAATGGAGATAAACAACAAAAAGTTTTCCATGATGAAAATGGAAACTAACAAGTTATAATTCTGTTTAATACCCAAATCAAAGGCTAATTACTTATTAAGAGGTTCTAACTCTTAATTCATTTACAACAGTTTTTTAAATTTACCTCATCATTTATGATAGTGACCTGATCATGTTCTTTAATATCTTCTGGTCTACTGCCAAATGCCAATAAATTATGCTGGTTTGATGAAAGTAAACATAACTTTGAAAGACTAGAAAACCATAAAATGGAGATATAACATAATGAAAATCCATGTCCTGAGCTTACTCCCTTATTAATTAATCACTTACTGTATGCCAATTGCATATCATCTTTATGTCTCTTTTCTAAGGGTGTATGTCTGTGTAGTGTAGATGAGTTTATTTTTGGTTCATTGTTCACTGGTGTTTTACTCAATCTTTCTCTTGGTTTATCTGTATAGTTCTGTCTCCTCTTCTCATCTCTAGAATGTCTTTTTCTTATCTTAATTATCCATAATAAAAAACTAA